TTTCATTTTGTTGCATGGTGCGAGAAGCAAAGCGATTAGACGAAGAGAACCGTCTTCCGTCCGGTGGCAAACGATTACGTCTACTGCGCTTGGAGGTGCATCAAACTAGCGTAATGACACCGACCCTGATCGAAATGCATGATATACGTGTAGGCATTGATCACACATTTTCATCTGTGTAAGCAGCTCTTTGATCTGGACATTAAGTCTAGGTCTTCCCCTTGTGAAACAGTTCGTACCAGTGTGCACATACATTTGAGGACTTAGTTAAGAAGCAACGATAGTGGGAAAAACATCCATGTAAATGATTTGGGTTCAGCTTCCTTCTTGGGTCCTAGAGTGACAAGTATGGGCTTGATATGGTATCCTAACACGTGTAATCCGTTTTTATGGTGGCGCTAAACAAGATAACGAACAGGTGAGAAAAACAAGCACTTATTCATCATCAGTTTAAATCCACTAAGTTATAGCCGTTCGAGCCCTCTTGATAGTGTTTGTAAATATTCAGCATCTGCAAGTACTTTAATTAAAAGGTCGTCAAGATGAACGCGATTGACAGAAATATTTGGATTACTAGAAAATTCCAATTTAACTCTCGAGAACGGAAGGCGATCTGGTGAGCATTTGATTTCAGTGTTTACTTTCGGACCATTATAGTCATGTGAAAATATAGAATTGATTCAGTTATTTCAAAAGTAATAGACAATTTCGGGTCTATGTCAGAGATAAGAAAATAAATAAGGCAACTTGGGTTAGTTTTACTAACGCGTCTGACCGACGACACTCCACTTGGACGTCTTCTGCCTTCGTTGTCTAGGGAAGATAAAGATCCTGGGCTAACTTCTTCTTTGAGCAGTAGGAGGGCTGGGACAATTAATTGCAAATTACTTCCGCTATCGCAAGTGTACGGAAGCGGTAACCTTTTGATCCGTGAAGCGGCATCTTTTAAAATATTCCTAAGGTGGGTTTCAAATCCCCATCATGGCCGGCATACACAATGTGGGCCACAGTGGCGCTACTACTGCTCCCGGCCTACCCTCGACACCCCCCACGAGGACAATGTTCGTTCAAGCGTTTGGTTAACTGCCGCGCCGTTCCACCAATATAAGTTGCGTCGCAGACACATTCGAAATGATAAATTACCATTGAAGTGGTCAGCATCGGCATCTTGTCCTTGTTATGTAAAAGAATAAGTCGTTCCGTTGAAAACAGACTTCAACGAGGCTGCTGGGATGGTCGAATTTCTCGCTGCCGGAAGATTTCCGGTTAGACAATCAGTAGGCACATCCCATTTGAATATCAAACAAATATATGGCTTTTTCTTTGCTGCTGTTAACCTTGCATTGGTCTAGAAGACATCCCAGACGCGGAGTTGATGTGCATACAGAATGCTCTAACTAAGAACAGTTATCATGATAGATTTATTTGAAGGAATTCTCAAGAAAATACAGACCGTCGTCAGTGTTTATAGCAGCAAAGTAAGAGTTATTTATTCATTTACCATTCAAAGTGGACTTGCTTACCGAGTGTCTAACCGGAAGCTTTCCGGCAATGAGAAGTTCGACCTACCCAACAGACTCGTTGAAGTACGTGTTTTAACGCAAACTTGATTCACAGGGGGATAAATCGGTTAATCTTTTAACTTATGCAGTACTAATTATGGTACCTGAGGCAACACTAGCAACTACCATTTAACCAACTGGCTTTCTGTTTCCAGTTGCACCGTCTGGAACAGATGAATGCTACAGATGCTTGACGTTACGTTCCGATAGCTGGTTAGCTGGTTATCTTCGTCCGAAGACTGGACGATCTCAAAGGACTTCTTGGCAAATCACGATGTCGCAGCTGTTCCAGCATTACATAAGCAAACTTGTGACCTACGCACTAATTTTCCATCTTAGTTGCGGATACTCTTTTTATTATGACTTTTATATCAGTTGCAGGTAATAGGTAATTTAGTCCGTCTCGGGGTAACTCCTTTTCGGTCGAATATTTGGATTGTGTCTGTACGAGTTATTGGGAAAACGCTAGCAACTTTTTATTAATATTATCCAGCTGCCAAACAATCTTGCGTGGCTTCTTGCATCTTCCGACAGTAGCCTTTCACGTGTCTGTTCGTTTCGGATATCAGATCACAAGCACTTTAAAGCTAAGCACTTTCGAAATTCGTAACTAGCATTCCACTATACCGACATTCTGGTTTGACTTGCTGAATCCTTGCAATAAAATCGATGACAATTTCTTCAGGGTTTTGACGCGTTAGAAAAATAATGGCACGCAGTGTATGTGTTCAGTCGTGAACCACATAACCACCTAAGGACTTCTAGCGCGCTGCTGACTATCGCATTTACACCGACATGAAGGGTGTAAAAATGTCTTTTTATTTTCTCCCCAGAAATTGTCTAAGTAATTTAATTTTTTGACTGTGAGTACTAAGCATGGTTGCAAGATTGGTAGTACCTTCAAGTAATCAAAAAGTACTCTTCCAGCAGTTCCTGGTAGCCGGTGTTGGTTTCTCAGAAGAAATATTCCAAATTAGTTAGAAAGGTGTAACATCGCGGCAGTTTAACCTCGTCACCAGAATGTTAAGTATGGCCTCGTATCCGAGAGATGGAACAGAACGTGCAGGTCTAGTATGAAACCATTTAAGGATTACATCAAACTTCACCGTGGCTAGAAATAACGAAACGGAAAGCCAATGGAACTAGAAAGGAAGGGCAAGTATATTATGAACAAACCATGTGAGCGCCTGTGTTCACCATAAATACTCAACTGCATAAGTGGAAGTATCGTCGCTGAAACTACTCTACAATCATTCGATGAGTGCGTGTTTCCAGCAAGAGATTTCCTTTGCATTATAGATCTTGCTTAGCCGCGGATGCGCATTATTATATTCAGGTGCCAATGTATGTTGCGTCAATTTAAATGCACAAGATTATGTTAATGTATTGGACGAAGCCAAACGGAGCAATAAGGGAAAGTGAACAGATGAAACAAGTGAGTATTCGCAAGCGAGTCGGCATATTCGGTAATGCGGTTTTGCGAAAATTCCTTGAGGCCGAGTGCAGTCAGATATATCCGCCACACGTATATAAAGCTCACTGCTGAATCGATGCCTGGATCCACACATATATAACTATCCTTTAGACAGTTGCCTCATTTTCCGTTGGCAGGTCACCAGTTGAGCATCTTCTGGATGTATGCAAACACGCTCAGACTTAAAATAAACAAAATCAGAAGAATCCAGTTAGCACTCATACGATGCACTCGACTTAAACAATGTATACGTTTAGAACTCAAAACACACTCAAGAGGTCAACATTTCGTTACTTAACAGACGTTCGTTTTCCAACCGCAGGGTCGCTCATGCAGTGCCCAAAGCGGCTGCGCTTAGCATCTCAAACATAATGGATGTAGAAAAATAGTCGTCCAGAGATTTTGTCAGCCTTGGGTATCCAAGTTTGATAAGTGCATTGAGAGTGCTCTAGTGGCGGTGTTGTGTTCTCTCCCTGAAATAACAAGTTTACTTTCAAACAACATTTCCTTTTACATATTTTCCGAATAGTTAACCGCATTTATTACATGATCTGAGAAACCATCCCATTGATATGATCGCCATAATTGGTGTAGGCATCTGGATACGAGAACGATCGCCTACTTTCTGAGTTTGGTCGGTCATGGTAAGGGATAATAACACGATGAACCGAATTGTCATCCACTTTATGCTGCTTCACTAGATTAGTGCTGTATAGAGGATCCACTAAATTAACCACGCTGGTTTTGATGAATACTTGAAGAATTGTGCAACAAACCTCTTAACCATATGGAATTTGTTATCCTTCTAATTCGAACGACAATCATGCTATATTTTTCGGTGTAAATGTTATTGCAAAATATGGATACAATGTGACGTATCTAGCCCACCAACAAATCCACCGAACAAATGCTGTGTGGTCTTACGTGTGCGATCTGCATCAATTTGGTCCGAGTTGAGAACACTTTAGGAATGAACCATCTGGAGTGTTCACATTAACACTTGTAAGTGAAAATTATTGAAAGTCATGATTTGAGGAGACCTCCGAGTTAGAAAAGTCGGGGCAGTGATTTAAAAGACCGATTTACGGACGGGTGATTTCAAACACTGGAAGTATGCGTTCTTGGGTCCATTTATCATAGTGCATATTAAAACATAGGAAATCGAGTTGTATTTCAGCCTGTGGCCTTGTGAACGTATTGACCGAATGCGGCAATCTATGTTCTTAAATGATTAAGTTTTATCTTTTAACAAATTTTGGACCCGATGCACCACGCATTTGGCGAACCCATTAGTTGATGTTGGTAGACGCAGTCGTAACGTCTAAGTAATCTATCATATGGATTGTAGTAGAGAAACACGTCAGCAAGGAATGTGGTGTGCGAGCAGCGAAGGTGACAAAAGCTACGAATTGGAGGGTGATAAGCAACTTCAAACAAACAGAAGGATTGCACTCTAGCTGCTCTCCGAATCATGCCAATATGTTGGTTCCTATTATTGGAAGCTTTCTAAGATTTTCCTGAGAAGACTAGATCAGTGTGAACTCGTACCCAAAGGTCGCGCTCCTGGGTCATTGCTTGCAAGATATTGTCTCCAAGCTTGTATGTGATGTTCGGCTGGTGGCGAATAAGCACCAGGTTAAGCTTCCTTGAATTGTACTGGAGCAGATTTCGGAGTAATCATTCTTACTGTCTGTCCAGGTCTCGCTGAAGTGCATTGTGACCTACTGGGTCGGCCATTGTCTATCACCTCTTGACATCATAGGCGCACAGTAAGAAACTTGAGGCAAACAAACGCGTAAGCTCTTAATGAACACGAGAAGCGGCTGCGCAGCTACTGGGGACTGACAAGTCTTTTGGCATGCAGCAGTCAGAATATGCTGCAACAGAGCCCCTGCGTGGGACTCACAGAAGACTCGTGAAGGTGTATCACAGATTGTGTGGAAAAGTTTATTCTCATTCATATGTTATATTTCGTCAAAAGATGGTAGCTGGCTGTCGGTGCCATAGAATGATAGGAGAGGCGGTGTGTCAAGAATTGCAGCTTCAGTGTTTAATGAAACGTACGGTGATAACAACTGAAAATTATCGTCCATAGAACTCTCGTTTGTTCTCATGGTGTATAGCGTTGGTGGTGATGGCGTAAGCGACGGTTGTAATCCAGATGCAGCGGCAGGGGAACAATTTACATTGAGGAAATTTTGCTCTGGAAGCTATAGGAAAATGTGGTAAATAAATGAGGGTCAGGTGCAAAGAAAAGGATTTTCCTTAATTCAGGTAGAACATTTGTTATTCTAACACCTTTGAGCTTCACGTTAGATTGTAACGAGTGGCTGATTAGTAAAACTAATTTCTACACTATAAAATGGCAATGATAATTAATGTTGCATGGCTAAGAGGAAATCAGGCACGTTAGCTATGAACGCAAATATGTAGCAGATTTGCGCGCAGTGATTTACAATACTACGAGGAAACATGCGACAACTTTATCCAAAAATATGGTAGTTGTCTAAGTAAATGCATCAGCATAGATTACTTTTATACAGTAAATCAAACTAGGATAATTATAGATAGGTAAGGCAAAGCATAATATATAAAACAAAATTTAAACTCAAGAGCACACAGTGTCCTCTTATGATTCTTGACATCTTTACAGATAAGGCCGCCAAATTTCAACGAAGAATAGACCTACAAACCTGGCCGAACTCTCTGACAAACCTGTACTCCATGCATATCGTTGACTTATTTGTCCAATGGATACATGCTCCGATAGTTGCTAGCTGTTAGAAGCACAAATTAAATTGGTTCGCCGAGAGTTGAGCAAAAGAATTTTGCACATACTTTCCAGTTAGCGACCAAGTGCTGCATCTGCTACTTCCAATCAAACGTCAATAAATATCATACTGTTCCACTCACTCGGGTTTGCTTGCAGATATGAGCAATGTCCTCAACGTATAATAATGTCGTTTTGCACCAGCATCCATTAGTAGATGCAGCATAGTGTTGGAGGATTAAACAGCAAGATCCCCTTTATATTTCTGTGTGACCTTATGATGCTTGTATTAGTCTAGTCGCTTTTTGAGCAATGCTATATTGTATAGATATATTGGTAATGAACCTAATGTATTGCATTGAAAGGCCACGAATAAGAGAGGTTGTCACAATTACATCGGGATATCCCTGCACCTAAAATGTGCAAATCATGCGGCAGCGCGTGCAGCATCCAAATAATAACATCGAGAGACACTGTTGTTCCGCTGTTTATGGGAAAGCTTCATCATTCGCCTATTATGATTCGGTCAATTAAACTAGTCGTAAAATGAAAAGTACTAACTCTAATACTGAGATTTCGTGTCTTTTGGATAACTAACATAAATGTTATTATGCAACGTGCGCGTGGCTAACCCATAATGATGCAACTCATTGCAAACGCACCACCTTACATGTCGACGTACATGAGTGTCACAATAAAGAAAAATTCTCCGCCGGGTCCTAAAATTATGCTACCAGGAGATAATAATCGACTTCAAATTTAAGGTCGTAATCATCAAGCTCATCATCAACAAACGAAACCAGCTCGTTGTGTGAAGTACCGTGAACAGTGGTATCGGAAACCGCGTTGAATATAATGTTTGCCTTGGCTACGAAACAACTAACGCGGCGACAATCAGCTCAAAGAGTTAAGTGAAGTGACTTCCTCACTCCGACCTACAAGCATTGCTAAATCAGTACTGGGAATTGTCCATACGCTCTAGCAATGCATAACGATATTTGGTAAGCTATAGGATCGATTATGAGACCCAAATTTGCTCCTAAATATAATAAACAACATACGGTTACAAGCAACATCCAATCTTTCATACAGAACACGGCGTCGACGAAAGGACTTCTACTAGATCAATTGCATCATCTTATACTCAACTGCACTAAAAAATGAAGCCTTTGATGGAGGTTGAAACGGTACACGGTCTAGGAGTGTACGGCAAACACGCAGCTGGTGTTCACTGTGATTCATGTCCCGTAAATTCTCGAACGAAGCACAGGACGACTGATCAGGATCTTAGAACGGAAAGCGGTAATAAGTAGTAAAACGTGAGTCGACAGTCGCTAGCTACGTTTCGCGATTCCAACCCGACCTCCACTATCCTCGAGTATTGTTCTATCCTAAATCTGAGTAGACGGAGACAAGGTATATGCAGCTTACTCTGAAGCAAACAGCGCAAAATTATCTGTAGTACTATTGAGCTATTTGGTAACCCTACAGCAACATTGATTTTTATAGACTCGGATTGCATGTCATATGAGAGAAGCGTCGCCAGACATTTGTGCAGGGTGGGAAGGGCCACTCCAACGCTGGAAGAACAATGCAGGGGATATTGATTTCCACCAAGCAGCTGCTCAACGTCTCTATCTCATGATATTGCTTAGAATGCACCCGCAATGAGACTAAACTTCGCCAAACACAAGCGGCGGGCATCACTTTTCTACACCAGCTGAGCGTATCTACCACCAGATTGCTTAAAGGCAACAGATCAAATGAGCTCAGTCGACTAAGCTAAGGTTCGGTTTTGGAATGAAATTGCTCAGACCTGAATAAAACTGGTTTGGTTCATATACCCTATTAGTTCTAATCAAACCTGTTTAACTAAACTGTTATTCTAAACGCTAATCAACGTATTGTCATCTTTAGGCGTACTAGAAGTATCCTAGGACATGCAGGAGCAGAATTGTTTTACTAGACGCCAAATACTATATAAGAGTCGATGCATTTGAAGTTCGTCGTGCGGAGACTGTCACAAAATATAGTAACGTTTCATGTCAGGCACATACAGTGCGGCGAAATGGGGAAGACATGCAAGTACTGAAATCTGTCATCTTTTCTCTTCCTCTTACGCTCATACGTTTCCCGACACCACTTATTTTTTTCGCACTATAATTCTAGGAATACCTGAAGACTGTTACACTACCAACGAATTTCTACCAATCACAGCCTTCTTCCAGCATGATAGACCGTACTCCTGCTCTAAAAGCTTCCTTATAATGCAGAAAGCGCCTAATACTTTGACAGCGTTCATCGACTACACTCACGAGAGTTAGTTCAACGCGCTGCACTTTTACAGGCTGTCACATTTATGGTTGACATCGGTTGCTCGTAAGATACTAGGATCAACGAAATTCGCGCAGTTGTTGACCGATGTACGCTCTAATTTTGATATCGCTATTGGTTAGAATTACTCGAAGACGTAGATGTGGCAGATATCGTTCAAAATATGGTGAGCCTCGGTGTGAATTCAAAGACTAATCCAAAACGTTTTTGCACAGTCAGCTTGGGAGCATCAACACTGGTTAGCTCACAGGAGGCAATTTCTGCCGTATGTTAGGGACTTAAGAGTATGCTCTTAATGACTGCTGCTGGGACAACTGTTATGGTCTTAACACGCTCCATCACAGCGTCACTAAATAAGTGTATTCTAGGATATATTATCGCGTAGGTAGTTTGAATGGGCAAGTCGGAAGTTTAACTTGGCAGACCTCCGCACACACGAATATTCGCCAGCCTTCATTGTATCAGTGAAACTGACACCGGCTATTCATTACCAATGCATCTCTCAGGCAAAATATGCGCAAATTTTGTATCCACGGGTGCCTGGTGAGCAATGCAACGATGGAACATTGGCGTATTAGAGCAAAAATAAAATGCTTAACAGCTGCCGTTGAATGGAATTTACTGCGAAAATAAAATTTCGTGATCAAGCGGAAAGCAGTTCTTTGATTCACTATAGGCTTAAGCATAATAGCGAAGATGTTCGCGTATTAAACCTAGAAATCCATTGGTTGGGAGCTTGGTAAGACACCGTTTGATTGCGTTTTTTAGCCCCTGGCTAACAAGTCATAAAAAGAAATGCAAATGAGACAACGTATGGTCAACATGTTTTTTAATTTCGCCTGATATTGAGCAGAGACGAAATTTCTAGGAGGGCGCTCCAAAGCTGACACACGCGGAAAGAACAAGAAATTCTGCTTCATTCAAGCCAACTATACTGTAATTGTCAGTTTCAGTGGATGAGCTCTTAGGTTAATGTCATGGTTCAATTCCAGCAGCAGACAATAAATGTGGTCTAGGTTCTTCGAAACCTGATAAAACAATATGCGGTCTCTAATTAAATACCAAAAGCGACAACTGTAAATTTTTAGTGGATTCATTCTTAGCTGTCAGGGCAGATGAATATGGACCCTGAGGTCCTTGGTCCCTACGTTAAGTGGTCTGCAGAGCAACGAGCTCTTGTTTCTGCCATGGCTGCCACGCCTGGATAGCATATACCACTGCGGTTGTACGTAGGCGTTAAGCATTTGGGGGAAACTTGAGGGTTCGAACCTACTGAAGGCTCTGCGAAGCAGGCCGATGTGTTGATTGCCGGTTCCCGGCGCCTGCAGTCCTCAGTACTTTCAAGTGAATGTTGTCTGCTCCTGGAGATGTAGGATCGCGCCGTGAGAGTTAATTAATGTGTATGTGCAACCCATGGAGACAATAATGGGTTTACGGGATGTGAGAGATAGAATTAGTGAGTGCAAAATTAGGGATATTGTAGCCGCAATTCATTTGGCTGATTCTTTGCCGCTTTGTATTCTTCCACCTGTCGTGAAAGTGGGGGGATGTCATGCTTCAATTCGCGAAGTTTGTTAGCACGTCTATACAGCAGTTTGTTGTTTGCAAAGAAATATTTTGGCTAGGCACTGTTCATAAGTTACAATTTTCTCACGGTTAAGTGGAGTACGATCGTTGCTATTGGTCAAGAAATTGCCTCAAGTCTCTTAGTCGGTGTTAATATTGTAAGCTTTGCACGATGGATCCAGTATCGCCACATATATTATAGTTCAACTCCTTAAGATTGAAAGCGTTTTTGTGAGACGAAGATTCCTGCTATTTGAGGTTCTGTTGACGATGTCGCTGAGTCTTTCAACAAACTCTGTTCAAACGTTGTTAAGTTGTCTGTTGTTTTGCAAATCCTAGGCAGATACGTCAGCAAATTCTTTAAGGACTTGACAGCGTGTGATTGGATGAGTTTGTTCCGAGTGTTCAGATGGATAGTCTTCATAACGCACATAGTTGAACGTTATTAATACATGTTCTTGAAACCTAATGGACTATCGATCAATAACTTGTGAAACATAAGCTCTAAATTCCTAAACATAAGCTCCAAACTGACGATTT